TCTTCCTCAGCAAAAAGAGGAGGATTGGCATGGATGTTAGCTCAGAGCTGATCTTCCTCACAAAAAAATAAATAAATAAAAATAAAATTAAACTGTATATACTTGGTTCAACTTCTGTGGCCACCCTGGTGTCTAGCCTGGTGGGCATGACCTCTCCAGCACATGTCATACCTGGGAGTGACCTGGCAGCTGCCTTTGCTGCCTGCCATTGGTGATTCCCAATTTGTGGATGCATGTCCACCTCTCAGTCTAGATTGTAAGCTCCTTGCCTGTGAGGACCATGGCTGTACTTCTTTGCATCCCCACAAAGCCTTGTACATAGAGAAATTCAGTCAATGCTTGCTCCCTGGAACATGATTGATCACACCAAAGTTTCACCATTTGCTGGCTCTGGGACCTTAGGAACGTCACTGAACCTCTCTGAGATTATTTCTTCATCTTTAAAGATACATAGTAAGATCTATTTTACAGAGATATTGGGCAGATTTAAAATCAATAACTATTACCACCACCATATTTGAGTGTTTACTGTAGGCCAGGAATAGTACTTAGAACAGGGCACTAAATAAATGATCATTAATTTATTATAATTGTTACTAACTTAGAAATCGGAGCTATCCAATATGGTAGCTGCTAGCTATATGTGGTTATTTAAATTGAAATTATTTAAAATGAAATAAAATGAAAAATTCAGTTCCTCAGTTGCACTACGTTTCAAGTGCTCAGTAGCCATGTGTAGCCATGTAACTAGTGGCCACATACTGGACAGTGCAAAACATTTCCATCTTTGCAGAAGGTTCCATAGGACAGCACTGTTATAACGAACTCTCGTTTACCTGCACATCCCTCCTGGTGTGTGTGCCTCTGTAGATATGTGTGCTCGAAGATATGTGTGGTGTGAAGGAGTAGATTCAAGGGAATGCAGAGGTCAGGAGATTCTGAAAGCTTTGCCTTTTCATCGAGCACCCTCTCCTGGTCGGGGGAAAGGATCCTGGGCAGGAGAGAATTGTGAGATTCCTGTATAGGTTCCTGCTGCCAGCAGGCTTAGCTCCCTAAGGTACCAAATTCAGTGAGTGCTGAAAGAGGGAGTTTGCACTAAGCCAGTTTCTTGAGATTTTGAATGGGACCTGCCTTCTGATCCCACAGGACGGAGGAGCCCTAAGAGCTGGAGCTGGAAGGGGATCCTAGAGATCAGAGTGCCTGTTACTCAGCATTTGTGTCTCTTGGCCTTAAAGGAACATTTAGATTTTTTGGTGAGTGGCACTGTCCCTCACTTCCATGTGACAGAGAGGGTGTGTGTGTGTGTTTATTTGGAAGCTGGTTGAAGGTGACCTTGGGGCTTCTTTAGTTGAAATGTGGGTGCCATTTGCAGGAGATGCTGACTCAGTTGCATGGATAACGGTTTTGTGAGAGTATGACCTGTAGTCGTCATCAATCTACATTAATGGCTCATGCGCGGCTTGCCCTGAGGTACACAGAGCCTACAGACACACATGGTGTCTGTCCCCAATGCCTGATGTGCCAAATAACTGTGAGTCAGAGGTAGACAAGCCTTCCTGGGCTTGTGTGACCGGAGAAGGCTCCCTGCATTGCCCAGTGTCCTGAGGGTGACCATCACCTTGTGCCAGGAAACACCCTACCTGGGACTGGCTCAAGCCACAGGTGATGGCTGGAGGGCTTGGCAGGGGGTGGCTGATGCTTTTTGAGGGCTGCCAGAGACAGAGACAAATGGAGACTAAAAAAAGTGGTGGAGGGGCCAGCCCGGTGGCGCAAGCGGTTAGGTGCACACGTTCCGCTGCGGCGGCCCGGGGTTCGCTGGTTCGGATCCCGGGTGCGCACCGACGCACCGCTTGTTAAGCCATGCTGTGGCGGTGTCCCATATAAAGTAGAGGAAGATGGGCATGGATGTTAGCCCAGGGCCAGTCTTCCTCAGCAAAAAAGAGGAGGATTGGCATTGGATGTTAGCTCAGGGCTGGTCCTCCTCACAAAAAAAAAAAAAAAAAAGGGGGGGAGCAAGTCTTTATCAACACACACACACACACACACACACACACACGCACACACACACAGATGCATGTCTTTATGTTGTTCTCTCGACCTGAAATGCCCTCCTTTTTAATCCTAATCTATTCAAATTTAATTTCAGGGGCTAATCCTGTGTATCAGCCAGGGGCCAGTCACACTCGTAATTTGATTGGGGAAAATGTAATGTAAAGATCTATTAATTGGTAAAAGGAGTTAATTCCTAGAAGGAGTAAGAGAAGATTCTAAGGGTACAGAAGTAATAACTGCATAAAGCAGCTGCTCCCTGCAGGGCTGAGGGGTAGTGGACAAGGACTAACGGCCCAGCCGAGGGCCTCCCACCCACGAGGCTGAGATGCAGGGCTGCTCAGGTGCTGAGGAGATGTGGTGGAAGGCGTGGTCCATGGGAGCAGCCTGCAGGGTGGCAGAGAAATTTGTAGGAGGGTGTGGCCTGGAGCTGATGTGTAGGAGCAGCCTGCTGGGTGGTCAGGACACTTGCTGGAGGGTGTGGGGCTGAGTTGGTCCATAGTTGGTCCACCAGGGAGTGGAGAAGTTTAGTGAATGTTGACTGGTCTGTGAGGGCCACCGAAGTGGGCACCCCCAAGCCACTGACCCGCTGGCTGCTGAGCTGATAACGGCACACCAGGACCACTAAGGGAGACTCCTTGCTTCTGCTGTGGCCTCGCAGTGTCCCTCCAGAGCCCCCTGTTGACAAAGCCTATTAGCAAACCATCTGACAAAGGAGCTCAGGGTCCAGCTCTTGCATCACAATGCAGGGCAAAGAAGGGTGGATTTGGACCTGAAAGGCCGTAAGTTCGTGAGCAGAACACACCCCGCTCCCCCTCCGGGGAGTCAAGCATCTCTATCCAGCCCTCTTGTTTCTTCCATCTGTGAGCTCCTGCAGGACTTGGTGCCATCCTGCTGCCGTGTGTCCTTCTCTGTACGTCCTCTGTGTATGAGTGGCTCTGTTGTGTCTCCCCATGTGAGAGGGTATGGGACTCAGTAAGTCCCCTGTAAATACCTGGTGGTTGATGTCTTTACTGGGAGGGGAGGAGAAGTAGGGTGTGTCCTCGCCCCGTCTTCCAGTCCTCGCTTCCATTTGGCATTGGCCTTGGAGCAGCTTTGACGTGGGGGCTGCATGAGCCTCCTTGGGGGAGCAGGCTGCCGTCACTGGGAGCATCTGGCTGGACCTGGGCTCTGGTCCCACCGTACCTTAGGTCTAATGGATCCTGGATACCTTTCTGGCTGTCTCTTACTCTGCTGGTGACTGGGATCTCTCCTCTGCTGGGTTGGAATTGGGGGACGATTATATGAGCTGCAAAAAGTCATTTGTTCATGACAGCCTGGACTCTTGTACCCTGAGGAAATGCCCGGTTCCATGTTTGACTATGTTTGCCTTCTTTCTCACTTCCTCAGAACTAGGGCTTGAGTGTGGCCTTGGCCAGCCACAGCACTGACCTTCCACCATCTGACACTGGCCAGCTCGGTTCCCAGTTCCAAATTCTTGAGAAAGAGGAGGCACTCCTCCCCCAGCAACCCTTTGACTCATCTAGAGGCTTGCTCTCTCTCTTTTAATTCTTAGAATTAACTTCCTTCCTCCTGTACCCTTCTGTCAGGGAAAAAAGACTCTCCTTGGCCCAGCTTGGACCAGGTATCCACATCAAGGCTGGAGGGCTCTGCCCAGGCGCATGGAGTCCTGTGTACATGGGGTTTCCCAAGAATGTGTTGGGATGGGAGGCAGAGGTATGCAGCAGAGCCAGAGGCAGGCGGGCCCTCGAGCGCCTAAGGATAACCTGCTAGTGCCTGGAGTCTGGGCGTCCCCTCTGCTTTAGTGGGAGCAGGCAGATGGGTTCCCTGGTTGCTGGGATGGGGGTGCTCAGGGCTATAGCATTCTCTTGTTAATTTCTAAAGTAACAGTTTTCTGTATGGTTCACTTGGCAACTAATTATATAGGATCTTTGAGCGTTTCTTCCTCTTTGTTGCCAACTGTTATTTAACTCTTCCCGTGGTTTATTGCTTCCGATATGTACTTAATTATGTCAGCATCTTTCACAGCACTTGAGAGGGTAAGTCCATCTTAGATGTTCACTCTCTGTTGGTTGACTTCATGGGTGGAAGAGGATACCAGGTGCCCACAGGGCACTGGGGTCTCTTGTCTTCTGTGTATGCCCATGGCCCCATCCTGCCTCAGAAGCTGTTGCTCAGGAAGGCAGGACCCTCATGGTTCTGAGACCCTCAGCTGAGCTGGGGTGATGACCTCCCAACTCTGGAAGCACAGGTGGGCATTAGGCTGCAAGTTAAGGCTGCCCTGTCCTAGGCAACCTGCCCAGCTGCCAGCTCCATGGGCTTGACACCTCCCAGTGAAATTTTTCCTCCAGTTAATAGGAGACCCCTGCTAAAGTTTGCCGAGTCAAAAGAGCCCTATGTTTGGAGTGTTTTCTAGACCTTCCTTTGACATTTATTATCTGTTTCTTTGTAAGCAAAACATCTGAGTTTCTTATCTTTAATGATACCAGTACTCACCTCCCTGGGCTGCTGTAAGGATGAAAAGAAATAATGTGTATAACCATGTTTTATAAACGTAGACCTCCAAACAAACAGCCTGAGAGTTGAGTGGCAAATACATTAACTCAACGTACCCTTGAATGAATCATTAGTAGGTTAGATTTGGTTAAAAGCGTTGAACGAACGCTCGTTTCTGCGAGTGGGACCCAGACGAGGTAAGTTTTGGTGGAAAGAAGGAGATCAGAAGCATCTGGCCATGTGAGAAGGCCGGCCTCAGTGTGAGGTTGGAATTGAATACTGTGGGTACCGAGACGGAAGGAGAACATTGAGGCAGAAGGTGAATGAAGAGGGTGTGTGTGTGTGTATGCTGGGGAGTAAATCAGGGTTTTCAAGCAGAGGGGCAGGGAAAGGGAGCAACGTCCAGTGGACAGTGTGCACTCACACCCCTCTGGCCCCGGCCTGTCTCCCTGCAGGTTCACCTCCGTTCTGCCAGGCGTCTCTGTGAGCTCTGCTGTGCCAACCGGGGCACCTTCATCAAGGTGGGCCAGCACCTGGGGGCTCTGGACTACCTGCTGCCCGTGGAGTACACCAGCACGCTGAAGGTGCTGCACAGCCAGGCCCCGCAGAGCAGCATGCAGGAGGTCCGCCAGGTCATCCGCGAGGACCTGGGCAAAGAGGTAGCTGTCCCTGCCGGGAGGGCAGGGCCCTGGGCCGTCTGCTTCTGAAAACGCCCTGCGGAGTTCTCGCTGCCAGGTGCTGGGGGTCCACCACTGGCACGGACCCACGCTTCACAGCAGCGTTCAGTGCTGAAATCAAAGAGGTTAGAAGGAAACCCAGTGGCCCTTGGTAAAAAATATTAGTTGGACCATATGAAATAGTTGATATTCAACTGTTTTTGACATGCAACCTAATATGATTCGTATGGTTCAACCTAATAATATCTATCAGTTATTGAGGGTTTTACTGTGTGCCGATGGCTGTGCCGTGTTCCATGCGTTCTCTCACTTAATCCTCGTGCAAACGTGAGGTAGGTACTGTTATCCTTCATGTTGCCCATGAGGGTTGGAGGCTTGGGTGGTAAGGTAAAATGTCCAAGGGCACTTTGGTAAGTGATTCCAGTGCACTGCTCTATGATGCTGTCAGTGAGCTGCCCAAACCATTCAATGCATTGGCTTTTCTGGAACGTCTCTGGCAGGCAGTCATCCAGCCTCTGCTTGATTACCTCTAGTGATAAGAAACTTATTCTCTCATTTGCTGCCCAGAGCAGTCCCTTCTTTGGTCACTCGTCTCTAATTGTGAAAGTGGTTCCTCCTAAGGGCTTAAACCCACCTCCTCAAGCCTCACTTTTCCAGTCTTCATTCCGCCCCCTGGAGCAACAGAGAAAGGGGCTACAGGCCCTTCTGCACACAGCCCTGGTCACACTCCTTTGGAATCATGCCAGTGTCTGCAGGATGTGTGGAACCCACACTGGGCCCAGCGGTGTGGACCCTTGCTGGCCTGTTCTGGTCATCTTGCTTCTGGGGATATAGGGAGGGGTTTGAGCAGCTGTCAACGGGTTGCTGAGCTGGGGGTCAGGCCCAGCCCTACAAATTGTGTGTTATAATTTGAGGAGACCTCAGCGATCTCTCCTAAAAAAACTTCCTCTCCCCCCTCACCTATTACTGTGTTTGAAATTCTCCTCTTTGAGAGAAAATCCTTTGGGTCTTCTAGAGTTTTTCTGAGCAAAATAATCTTCAAGTCAAGCCTCGATCAACTGATGCCTTTCCTGAGATTACAACCTTTGATGCCTCCTAACTGCCCTAAAATAAAATCCTTAGCAGGGCTTTCAAGGTCCCCCTATCTGCTTTCCACCTGCCTGTTTCATGTCTATAACCTGGTAGGGCAGAGTGCCATTAGAGTTTGTGCTCTGGAGCCGGGGGCTTGGACTTTGAACAAATTATTTGTCCTCTTGGCTCCTCACTTATCTGTAAAATGGGGCATAGTGCCCACCTCGTAGGGCTGTTGTGAGGATTAGAAGAGATAATGAGTATAAAGTGCTTGGTGCAATAGCTCACCTGGAGCAGACGCTCCACAAATATTAGCCACTACCATTACTGTTGTTATTTCCCTGTACTCTGGTCACACTGCACTGCTTATCTCAGGTTCACTGTGTACTCTTAGCCCTCGGTGCCTATGCCGTGCTCTTCTGCCTGTCTGGAACGTCTTTACTCCATTCTCTTCCTGTCTAGTGATTCCTTGTGTTTCTAGGCCATTCATCCATCTATCTATCCATCTACCGAATGCCACCACTGTGCTGGGTGTCCCAGCCAAATCCCAGCTCTTCTGTGAAGTCTTCTCTGACCCTCTGCACGACTTTGCTCCTCCACTTGTGCATCTTGTGGCTTGGTTAGTTGTGTCTAGGTGGTCCCGCTGCAAGTAATAAAGTCTTTGGGGATGAAGACCGTGACGGTCCTTTTACCCTGTAGTTACAGCACCAGCACGTAGCTGGTATACAGTAGGTGCCAGGGTTTGTTTAACGAACCAAGGGATGAACGAGTGAGAGCTTCCTTGGGCTACTCAGGGCAGGGCAGAGGGTAGGAGCAGAGGTTTCATAAAGATTAGTTGTTCCGGGCCGGCCCCGTGGCTTAGCGGTTAAGTGTGCATGCTCCGCTACTGGTGGCCCGGGTTTGGATCCCGGGCGCGCACCGACGCACCGCTTCTCCAGCCATGCTGAGGCCGTGTCCCACATACAGCAACTAGAAGGATGTGCAACTATGACATACAACTATCTACTGGGGCTTTGGGGGAAAAAAAAAGGAGGAGGATTGGCAATAGATGTTAACTCAGAGCCGGTCTTCCTCAGCAAAAAGAGGAGGATTAGCACAGATGTTAGCTCAGGGCTGATCTTCCTCACAAAACAAAAAAACAAAACAAAACAAAACAAAAAAAAGATTAGTTCCATTTTCGCTGATTTGCATGGAGCTGGCCCTGGCCCTCGGTCCCAGGTGCCCAGCATCCAGCCAAAGATGTCCCACTCTTCAGTGACAGCCTGGCCTGGAGGGGGCCTCATTAAGTGACTCTCTAGGGGGCCTGAATCACACAGAAGGTGAGCATAGAAACTTCTGTGGACTCCCTTCCCACTGAGGAACATCCCCTCCAAAGTGCGGGAGATTGAGTGAGGGGTAAACCTGGTTTCGGCCTGGCGTCAGGAGCAGACGACAGGCTGGGAGGAGCAGGGTTAGCATGCAGGGACCCCAGGCAGAGGGGACAGGATTGGCATGGCGCAGGCCTGCCCGTGGCTTTGCTTCTTGCCAAGACTATTGGCCTCCTGTTTTCTACAGCGCGAGATTCACCCCCAAATTAAAACTAAATAAATCACTGTAATAACAGTGTGAAGTGCATCATTGCTGGCACGTGGCAGCTCGGTGGGGGTGGATGCAAGGGAGGGAAGGCGGCAGATTAACCCTTGGAGGCCGATTTGTCTGCGGAGAGCTGGAAGCGGGAGGCAAGAGCAGCTCAGTGGCTTCCTCCAGGCCAGGGTGGAGCAGGATGGGAGTCCAGGGTGTCAGCAGTCATGGTGGGCCCACCCAGCTGGCCAAGGGATGTTTGGGGTTGGAAGATCTCAACTGCTTCTTTTTATAATTTTTTTTTTTTATAATTTTTATTTATTTATTTTTTCCCCCAAAGCCCCAGTAGATAGCTGCATGTCATAGTTGCACACCCTTCTAGTTGCTGTATGTGGGACGAGGCCTCAGCGTGGCTGGAGAAGCGGTGCGTCGGTGCGCGCCCGGGATCCGAACCCGGGCCGCCAGTAGCGGAGCGCGCGCACTTAACCGCTAAGCCATGGGGCCGGCCCTCAACTGCTTCCTTAGGGCCTCTTCTCTAGACCCCCCTGGCCAAGTAGCCCTGGGCGTGGTGGCCTGTGGCCCCTGCCCCTAGGTTGTCTTGAGCCCTCTGAGACAGGGAGGCTAATGTCAAGGTCACGGTTCTGAGGGGGCACCCTCTCAGCTGGGAAGCTCAGAAACCCCTGGTTTCTTACCCCGGCCCCCGCAGGTGCAGGATCAAAGCCTTCCCTCCCGCTTTCCTCCTCCTCTTCCCTCCCGGGAAGATGGCATTTGTTCCCTGTTGACATACTTTCTCAGGCTGTGGGCGGAGGGAGGGGAAAGGGCCTGTGTGGGAAGCAGGGTAGGTGGATGTGGGGGTGTGAGGGCGGGGAAAGTCACTCACTTTGCACTTCCCTTTTCCTCCAGCCCCTCCCATGACACTTCTTGGGGAGCAGCTCTCCCCCCAGGAAGTCCTGGGCTTCCGCTAGTCCTGGGCTCCACACCTGCCCTGAGACCCTCAGTGGAAAGCTCCGTTTTGTCCCTGGTTTCAGGAGTGTGGTTAAAGGACACCGAGTCTGTGACGCATCACCATCTTCTTTCTAGGTCCGAGTCCTTGGATGGCCTCTGAGATTACTTGGAGCTCCAAGACTGCACAGCTGCCCCTCAATCTCAGGCTGAAGAGAGGGGAGGGGTGGCTGGAGAGGAGCTCTAGGCTGGTGGGCTCCAGCCTGTGCTGGTTGATTCAATCTATGCCTCTTGGGGACCCCCCCGCCCCCCATCAGCAGAGGCCTTGGAGGGTCATTACTGTCCTCAGACCAATCCTCATTCCAGGCAGACAGGGCTGGCCCTGAGTAGTATCCCCAGCATGGGGGTGGGGATGAGAGCGAGGTTGCAGCTCTTCTGGATCCCATGAATTACATTTGGTTCTGGATCAGTCCAGATCCCTGGACGGCAGCTGGTGCCATCAGTGTGGAGGTGAGGGCAAGGGAAGGGGCCCCATCCTGGCATAGGGGTTGGCGTAGGCAGGAATGTGTGGCCCGGGGGTGGGGGAACCACATAGCTAAGGGAGGGGCATGTAAGCCACAGGACGAGGCCTCAGATCTTCTGATTCCCAGGTCAATGCTTTGTCCCCTATGGACCAGAGCTACTTTTTGGCAGAAATCCTTTAGGAAATCACTTTTCTATGTGTCTCTGTCTTGGAAGTTTCTCAGGTAGTATTGCCAGAAACTTACTTTTTTCCTTTTATTTGGAATGTTAGGCTTAAGTCCTGAAGGACAGTTCTGAGAAGCAATGAGAAGCCTGAGCTCTAGGAGGTAGAGTAATTTCTGCTGCCCCCAAAGTGACCTGGGTCTGAAGTGGGTTGGGGATTGTCTCAAGCTTTGGTCTCCTGACTGCCCTTGGGGCTTTGGGTCCAGGTGCAGTGCTGACCTTGGCCAGCAGATGGCGCCTGAGCTTGAGAGTCAGGGAGGGGTGTTGAAGACATGGCCCTTCCCCGCAGAGCCCTGACAGGTGAGTGAGACTCAGGTTCTTTCTACTCCTGGGCATCGTCTATGCTGTGGAAGGAGTCTGGGCTGACACGTTTGCACCCTTAATGGGGCAGACGCAGGCCTAAGCCGTGAGGCCATTGACCACCCTGGTCCCCAGGAGCTCTTGGCTCCATGCTGGAGGACATGGCAGGGTTCTTCACATTGACTGCCAGCCCATCCTTACACCTTCCTCATCTGGCTTAGGAGTCCTCTGAGGCCCCCTGCAGGCTCCAACGGCCTGCAGTTCTGTGGGTCAACACCTTTTCCTTCATTCTTCCATTCCTTCCCTTTCCTGCTTGTCCAAGCAGCTGGTATGTAGTGAAAAAAAGGCACAGGCCTGGAAGTTGT